CTCAGGAAGTCAGATTTGAAAAATCTTAGAAATTTTGTCAGTCTTAGAAAGATGTGCTCTGTTGAAAGGAATCTAGTCTAAAGATGTTCATGAAGCTGGAGTTTATGTTGTAAAGAAACCTGTAGCTGTGGTGTGCTTTCTATTTTCCTGGATTTCATTATGCCTTCCTGCTTCACAGAACAGCTGTAACATTAAACCCATTGAAATTTGTAAAGTGCTCAGAAATCCACTGAAGGGAGGCTGTAGAGGAGTAAAAGGTACTCAATTTTCATTGCTGTTCTATCAAGCAAGAGAGTTTCCAGAGTGTCTTAATAATAAATAAGAATAAATAACTGCAAACTGTAGAATCTGGTCTATGCTCATTAATAGGTACCTTTGGGTCTGTGGTTGAGGAGAATCTCTTTTGAGGAGAAGATGAGTATAGATTTGAAGATTTGAATTCAGATTTCAATATCTTCTTTACCACCATAGCTTGAAGCATTGGAGTGTGCTTTAGTAGCGTGTGAACATTATCCAGGTCTACCGGAATTTGAATAATTGTGGCAGATTGTTTGACCATTTTCTTCTGTCAGATTTCAACTAGATTTTCAAATAAATCATTCACCAATATTTTTTCCTCATGGTTTGGTTAGCTCAAGAGCCAGCTGAACAATATTCATCAAATAAATTACTCACTTTTTCCTCATCAATCTGCAAATAATTTATTCACAAATACTTTTACATGAGGCAGCCAGCTCTAGCCAGGACAAATCAAGGTAATTTCCTACGCTTTTGATCACATGCCAGTAGGACTTTATCTTGGACAGCTCAATAGAGACAGGTTTTAATGCATAATACATAAATGGCTAAGCTGAGTTTTTCACAGTTCTTTGTGAGCTCTCTACTATTGCCCATATTTCTGTTCAACTGCTAAAGGGGAATGACAGGGGGGCATACATTTTCCATCCAGGTACGCTCAGAAACATTTCACAAAACTGAGCGTGGGGCTCACGTCAGCCACAACCGTGATGGGGCAGCCCGTTGGCTGGAACACGCGCTCTGTTCACTGGAGCAAGGCGAAATTTAACAGGAGTTGAGAAGAGGAAATGAAGACAAGTATTGTGCCTGCTTGGAGACACAAAGGGAACCTAGGGGCGGAATGAAATTAAGCAACGTGGAATTTCAGCAGCATGCTGGGGATGAAGTCCCTAGCTCTTGAGAAAAAGGTCCTTAAATGAGATGGCACATCCCTGCACAAGATGTCTCCAGGACAACGTTTGTGCTGTGGCTGCCTTTCCCCAGGCTTCTCATGCAAACAGCTTGGAAGCCACTGAGAGCCCTCTTCCTGCCTTAGAGGCTGCTGTGCTGCTGACGGGGCAGTGGAGCATGGCCTTACCTGTCTGTCTGCCCACGCCTCTCGTTTGTTGTGGAGAGCTCCTGGCTGCCACACGCCGGGCAATGGCACCAAAAGGTTTCTCACCTGCTTAAGGTTTGCATCCTGCAGTCTGCACTGCATGAGAGGAGCACTTTTGCATCTCTGCTCCTAAGCAGGTGCTGGGTCCTCATCAGTCCAGGTCCTCCTGCTGTTGGTCATCCCTTCTAAATGTTCTTTATTCTTGCACTCCGTGTTGGATGTGGGCCTCATACACAGACATTTCACCCCGTCCTCTGCTGCTCAGGCAACAAGGTGGGGAGAACAAGAGTTGTTTATCCATGTTTGCCAAGAGAGAAACTGCAAAGGCTAGCAAGTGTATGTTGGGGGAGTGGTGCAAGCAGGGAGTGGTTGCGTGTGGGCTTCTTTAGGATCAGGGTGTGTTCATGTTTCATGAACATGTGCATGCATAATAGTGTGTTTAATATAACACTCCAATCTTGATCCTTCCCCGAAATTCTGCTGGCTAACCTCGTTACCCCCAAATGAGAGACACTTTCAGCCTATACATTATGCAGAAATGTAGGTATGAAGAAACGTAAGCAAGCATTTTTACAGCATCATCAATAAATAAGTATGTGCTATCTACTCAAATCAACAGCATGCTAAACACTGAAAGTCAAATGGGATGCCTTCCTGAGAAACAAACAACTGACCATGTATTTACTCTGCAGCTCATGAATAAACATTGAAAATGCACAAAAACAGAGGAAGATATTTGTTTCAACTTGGAGAAAGCTTCTGGCTCAGACTGGCTCTCATAGCTGAACGATACAAAATGGAATTGGCAAGGGGGAAAAATGACATAATCACATACATGTAACAATCCATTGAAAGTAGGACACACAAAAAGGAGAAGAAAACAGGCTTTGAAGGAGAAGGTAGACTAACACAGCGGTCAACTTCAGACCTGCTCTTTCTGGCATCTGTGCTGGCGATTTACCAGCCTTGGAGAAACGGCTCTCAAATTCAATGAGAATCTCAGACACCTGCTTAAATTGTCACAATGTTACAGAATGTATTTTAACACACCCTGCTGCAAGGCCATGTGCTGAGGAGGGAAGAGCATAGTGATGAATGGCAGGATAAAGATGCTTTCAGGAAAAACACAGATGCAGAAAGAGATTTGGGGACTCAACATGGGTAATGAACTCCACAAGCTTTTTGTACAGCACAGGAAATGGTCTACTTCCATTTTTAGTTATGAGAGAAGGGGGAAAACAATGACTGAGAAATTACTTTTACTCTGAGCACAGCATGTGTGTATAGACCGCAATGACATTGTACCCACGCTGGGTGCCTGCAAGTCAAAAAAACACTTAGAAACACTGGAGTCCAAAAAATCTGCAGTGACCAAAACTAAATCCTACAATGTGAGGCTTCAAAGGAAACAATCTATTCAGTTGAACAAGAAGTTATTAAAAGCACCATGTATGGTTACTTATCCATGAAAATGGGATGGGTATGCAGTTTTGTAGGCAAAGGCATAACAAGTTCTGATGTCTCAAAGTTGAAGTTAGACAAATTCAACCTTGAAAGAAGCAATTTCCTAGCAGCAAGGATAATTAAACATTGGAATAAATTAGTAGGTGGAAGAAGGCAGTTGCCACTGAAGAAGACTCCATTACTTGGAGTCTTTAAGACGTGTTGTCTTTCTAACTCACTTTGATCCAGCTGCTGAAGAAAAAATCCATGGTTTTTGTATATGGGTCAGATTAATGGGTTATAGTGGCCCTTCTGTCTGGAAGTCTGACTATATGTAGGGGAAAAATGGTTCTTAGTGAAGTAAAAGAGTGAGAGGTGCTTGTTGAGAACACAACCCAGGGCTCAGGACAGCAGGGTTTCAGGACTAAAGCTTGATGAAGGATCAGGGGTTTACCCAGTGTGGTGGAAGCTGACTGGTAAAAGTGAGACATCTAACTTGCTTTCTGAATTTGATGTAAGGAACACATCTTGGTTTATGGAAGTGACATCTTCCAGTGAAGAAAAAGTGTGTTTAAATGCTGGCTAAAGGAGGAGAGCAGAATGACTGGGAACAGGCAGCAGGTACAAGCAGGGATATGAGGGCATTTTGAATATATTTGAAGACAGCCTTGTTTTTCTCATACAACTTTTCCTCAGTCATGTTTGTGGATTCAGCCTCATTTGCTGTCTGGGAGCTGTGAGAAGTTCAGTTCTGCACAGGACCAAGTGTCCTCCAGAGAGCTCGTGGCTGCAGCTCTGCAAAGAGGTCGATCTACTCCTTGCAGGAGCTCAGGTAACTGTGGTTGGAGGGTGAAAGTTCTTCTCATCAGTTTTAGGAGGGTCTCATTTCATTCCTATCAGGCAACACCCTCTTTCCTGTAAAGCATAACAGAATAACAAAGTCCAGCCTAAAATCCAGTCTGATAATCATGCTCAGTCAAGAACACAGCGCACACTTCCTGAACCTCGCCCAAGCCAAGTCATGCTCAAGAGCAAGGTGCACTGGAGACGCTAGAATAAAACCTAAACCAGCCATTTTGAGCAGGAGCAGCTGCCCCACGCCATGCATAGGCTCCAGAGATTCCCCACAGGAAAATGTATAACACAGATCCTTCTCTACCACGGAGCCTGGACAACAGACAGCAAGGTGTGCCCAAGGAGAGCACAGATTTCCCAGAGAATGTGGCAAGGGGACTGAAAGAGCAGACAACTGTCCGAGTTACTAGAGAGCCGCCCAGTGCCTCCGCTCTTTGTTTTTACAAACAAACAGGAAATTAAATCCCTGAGCAAACAAAAATCTCTGAGCAGGCTGGGAAGGAAGGTGGTGGAGTTGGTGGCATGAATGCCATGCTGCAGCAGCCCCTTATTAAGTAAACTGGGATCTCAGGCAGGGGGAAACAAACCGAGTCTCAAAAAAGGGCGATGCTGCTTGTGGGGCTGCCTGGCACCAGTGGGCGAGGGAGCCGTGGCCTTGTCCACGAAGTGCTTGGGGTACAGACACACTTGGGAGGGTCGGTGCTCTCCTGCTCCTAACTCAGGCCGTGAGGAGGATAGAATCGCCAGAGCACAGGCAGGCCAATGCTGCCCGTGGAAGGGTAGGGCAGACGATGGGCACAGCCGGCACTGGTTTTTGAGGTCACACAGGCATGGAATGGGGCACGAGTGCCCGCCGTGCCTGGGGCAGCCCAGGATGGGCACAGGGCCAGCAGTGACTCCACACGTGTGCGGTGGCTCGGTGCGCGGGATGTGAGCACCGGGGGCACAGCCGAGCCCCGCACACGGGGGGACCCCACCCCGTGAGGCGGGGCCGGACGGGCTCCGCAGCCGGGGCAGGAACGAGCGGCCAAACAGCGTCCCGGCCCCACGCTGCCCAAGGGCCGCTCCCGGGGCTCCAGGGGACGCTCCCGGCCGGGCCAGCCCGCCCTCCCCGCACCGGGGCTTCCCCAAGCCACGTGTGCGCGGCGGCGGCGGCCCCGGGAGGGAAGAAGGGAGGGAGGCGGTGAGGGCAGCGCCGTTCTCCACTGGGCCCTTCTCGGCGAGGCGCTCCCCCGCGGCCCCGCTCTCCGCCCTCCCTCTCCCGCCTGAGGGGAAGGGGCCGGGCCGGGCCGGACCCCGCGCCGCCCCCGCTACCTGCGGGCGGGGGCGGGCGCTGGGAAAGTTTGTCTCTGTGGTTGGCTGCGCCGCGCGGCGCGGCCGGTCGGGGCGGGCGGGCGGCTCCGTGCGCTCGCAGGGCAGCGAGCGGCCGGCCGAGGAGCGCTGCCGCCGCCGGTGCCCCCGGGCTAGCCCAGCCTGCGCGCCCGCGGTCCCGTTCGCCTAGGGAGAGGCGCCGCGCAGCCCTGCCAGCATGGGGCACCGCGGGGAGAGGGCGTCCTGCCTGCCTCTCCTCCTCCTCGTCCTGCTGCTGCTCGGTGAGCCGGGGGTGCGCGGCTGGGGGCGGCGGGGAGGGCGGCCGGGGGTGCTCAGCCACCTTGCCCGCAGGTAGCGCGGCGGGGCCGGGAGGGAGGGAGCGGCCCGCGGGGCCGTGCCCGCCCGGGGCGCGGCGGAGCCCGGCCGGGCGCTGCCCTCGGCGGGGCCGTGCTGTACCGCCTGCCCGCCGGGCTGTGCCGGCCCCCGGAGCGGGCGGAATCGGCCGGCCCGGATCCCCCGGTCCCCGCTGCTCCCTCCGGGGGATCGCTGCCGGGCATTTCCCCGAAACTTTAGGGGGCCTCCCCGGAGCGGGGGTGGGTTGCGGGGTGCTGCCCGGGGGCTCCCGCAGGCTCCGGGGTCCCGCGGCGCCCCGGCCGCGGAACGTGGCGGTGGAGCCGTAGTTGCTGGTAAAGGAGCCGGAGCGGGGGCTGTGTTGGCGGTGAGGTGAGAGCGCTCTTTCGCTCCGAGAGCTCACCTGGCGGAGGTGAAGCCGCTGGCTGAGGTGGGACCCTCCTTGTGCCTGTCCCCCGGGGCCCGCACCCTGCTCGGGTTCTCCGGGCGCACGGGGTGCTGGGGAAGCAGCGCTTCCCGGAGCCCTCCTGCCGGGCTCCCGGGGTTTGCTGCCTCTGCCGGGAAGTTCTCCCGCTAGGAGATAGCGTGTAATTGTGTAGGTGATGGTTTACGCTGCGTTCAGGTAATTGTGTAGCTGTCGTTAGCGTGACATGTGGCATTGTTCCTTCCTGGTGTCAGTGCCAGCCAGGCAGCGTGCAGGAATAAAGACAAGCAAGCTCTACACAAAAGGGTGGGTGGTAGGTTGTCGTGGGATTTTTTTTTCTTTAATTTTTTCTTTTTTCCCTTGTTTTCCCCCCAACGTTGTACTTGTAGCGTTGTTGCTAACCCTGTTACAGATGTAGCAGTGAATGTAAAAGTAGAGAACCAGAAGACCATTTGGGTTAGATAGCTCTGTCTTGTAGTATTTTAGTGGCTTTGTGTCGGCTCTGGGCAGCCAGAAGGACATCAGGTACAGGTGAGCAAGCATGTCCCTCAGGTTACTCTATGTAGTTCATGATTCAGAACACTTGATTAATTGCAGGTAGTAAGTGGGAGCCTTTTCCAGATTTCAGGTGGAAAGGAGTAACTAAACAGTGCCCCAGCCCCACAATGCCAACACTCTTCTTTAAACAAAACTCTATTCACTGACTTAGTTTGTGCTTGTACTTTTGACTTTGCTGTGACTTTTTTTTCCCCCTAAATCTGCCAGAGCACTTTCCGCATTGTTTAGATGTTGAATCTTTCATAGCCAGGTCTGCAGAGCTGAGAGTTGGAGTTGAAAAATCAGTTTCCTAAACCTGGTCTTGTCCTGGTCTTTTTCTTGTGGCTGCTTGCAGGCTGTTGGGGCAGAGGGTGTTCTGTCTCCAAGATCCTACCAGACAAAAGTGTCCACTGTGCTTTCTCTTACTTGCAGCTGACGTTAGTCATCTCATTTATCTTTACAATATAGGCATGCTGCCAGCTGGGGAAACAGTCATGAGCTGGAGAGCTCACCTTCAGTATTTTTGTTTAGAAACAGAAAGGGAATAAGATTTTTCAAGAGGATGGTTTAATAGGACAAGCGGAAAATCAAGACTCTCAGATGCTCAAGGTCACGCGGCAAAAAGTAAAAACTATTAAGGATGACGCACAACAGGAAAGTTGTTTTCTTCTTAAATCAAGATGAAATAATTTGAAGAACTTAAAGTGTGCATGCAGAGATATGTGGCCATTGTTCATGATCTGGTTTGTCTAGATGTTCTGAGTTGTCTCTTGGGGATTTCTTTTTGGTAATTAGAATGGTGCTTTTAAGACTGAAAGTGTTTTTGTGTGCAGAAAAATCTCTGAACTGTAGTCTTATTTGTAGTGTGCGTTGTAGAGTGCCTATCTTTTGATACCATTACTTGGTCACTTCTATGAAATATTCCAAAGGTTAAGAGGTTTGGAAAGTAGTCATTTTCTCACTCTGGATGGGAGAAGTACACTTCTGTGAACCATTTCTAGCAGCTCTTTAATGGAGCGATGGCTTGGAGCTTTTGCTGCAAGTATTGAAGAATTCTTGTGTAAGGGAGGTGGAGGGAAGGAGCTGAAGCATACACAAGTTTATCCCTTGTGAGTACTTAGACTTGACTGTTTTCTTCAGATATTTACAAAATAATCCAGCAAAAGGATGCAAATGGCTGAAGTATTTGGCTGTGACAAATGAGAATGTTTTAATCATTCTTTCTTTTTGATCCAGTACAGTTATAATCTGTTTGGTGAGGAGATTGTGGGATCCTGATACTAAGGCTTCATCTAGTCTCTCTTTTCTTCCTTCCTCTGGTGTGGTTAGATCCTGAGAAAGGAGGGCACTATAAGAGCGTTGTGCTCTGTCTGTTTCACGTGTGATTTCACTCTGCAGCCAATCTACCTAATCAACCTGTGAAATGCTCTGGAAACCAAAACATCTCTCCTAGGACAATTCGGCCAAAAACCAAACAAGCATCTGATTGTTACCAGGGCTCAGACAGTAAAGTAAACAATAAGCATTCAACCTCCTGGATTTTTTTCCTGGTTCTTGTTTGAGGTCCAAGGTAATAATTTCAGTGGATCTGAAAAAAAAAAAGGTTTTTCTTTAAATGCTATGGGGCATGAGGAGGGCATGTACTCAGTAGATCCTGGGGGAAAACCATTGATAATGGGTTTTCCAGAGATGGCCTTTTTCTTACTCACCTTTCAGACCTGTGTGGCACTCGCTGTCTGCTATGATGAAAGTCAGTTCCAGCGTGCCAGAACCCCAGGAGCTGTGTGTTTAGATGGATGGAGTTGTTTCCTGCATCTCGTGTCTGAAATTATTTTTTGTTTCTTTTCCTCAGAAGCTACAACAATTAGTCATTTGAATCAAGGTTTAATTCAAGCTCTGCAATAGAAGGCTTTTGGTAATTAGTGTAAGTTATTGTGATCATGCACTTCAAGGAAAAGCATGCTTTAATCTTTTCTTGCATTTGCAGCTGAAGGGGGAGCATTAGAGAAAGGGAGAGCCTCAAGGTTTAGGGCAGGGAGGCAATGAAAGGATGATTGCCTATGGAGTGTTCAAGGTATGTTAAAGTGGAATCTGCTCCCTCTTCCCTTTCTGGTGCCTGCTCACCTGCAGGTGAGCCCAGGGCTGGCCCTGGAGGCTTTTGCCTGCCTGTTCTTGGAAGGAGGCAGGCTCAGATCCTTACTGGTACTCGGAGAAGGCTTACAGCTAGACCTGCCTATCTCCTGTGACTTAGGAGGTGGCTAAAAAGGCTTCCAAAAGGGAATTACAGACTGCTAATGCACTAGAAGCATGTAGTGAACTGGAACTGGGTTGGTGAGGCACTGAAGGGCAGGTGGTGTTGCTGAGGAGGAAGCTCTTTCCCTGTGGCTTTGTCATGCTGATGTATTTTCTTGCTGTGTAGGCTGCGGGAACATGTGGGAATCGAGGGGTGAGCACTGTAGTGAGTGTTTGTTCCTTTACATCCTGTGTTCTTTAGGGGTGGCAGATGATAGCTTAGTCACCTTCTCTGCCTCTCTTGCATCTTTGTAGGTGCCTGTCTTGGGCTGCTTTTTAGGGAGTCTAGGTGCTTTTTCTGAAATTCTTTGACCTTGTTCCCCAGGTTTCTCGATGGCTACATTTCAGCGTAGCAACAGCTTGCTCTCTTTAGGTAGCCTCTGTTGTGTTTGGCTCTAATCCCCGAACTGAGGTATAAACCTGCCTGAACAAGATTTGAAGTAAGCAGTAGGGGTCATTTAAAAATGCAGCCACATGCTTGATTAGAGGGGAATGTGCTTAAGAAAGAATATATATCCATCCCTCTAGTTATATAAACAAACATTCAGGAACATTTGAGATTTCAGCTTTCACATCTAATGTATTCATGGGTTGATTTGTTTCTATGTGGTTGTTTCTTGTTGTTGTGGGTTGAGGTTTTTTTGTTCCCATCTCCATAATCCTTGTCAAACACTAACCTGCAAAACAGAAATGTATGGGTTTTTTTTTAGAAGGGAAATGGCTACATATCTGAATAAGGTATTTTTAGAAAGTGAGCATTTCAGTTGTCTGGTTTTAGATGCCTTTCAGTGATATATTTTATGGTGTGTGAAGTTCTGTGTTTTAGAAGGAAGGGAAAGGGGACACATTGTCTGACAATGTGAATTCTTTCAGATTATGTATAGAAGTCGATTGAAAGTTAAGTTGGAAAGAACTTGAGGAAGACAAGGAGCTAGGTCAAAGTAGTGGTTATGTCAATGTCTATAAAAGTCTCTAGTACTTTCAAAAGAAAGGTATTAGATGGAGTATAGAGTCAGTCTGTATATTGGAATGCAAATAAAAATATCTGTTTAATACTTTGCTTTTGACTTTTATTGGAGATGTTACCAGGCCTCTGATATTTGTTCTGCTTTCTCAGATCTGTGATAGTAAGTGATAAAGTCTTATAGACTTTAAAGTTTTATAGAGACCTGTGAGGTGAAATTGTCTAGGCATGTTTCCATTTCTGTCCAAGAATAATAAGCAGTTTCCAGCTTGACCCCAGTTCCTAACCTGCACAAGGTACCTCAAAACTGTATTGAACAAGGCAGGGAGAGACTGTCATAAGCAGGTTTGAAGTTGTTAGAATTTCCTGTTCTAAAGACGAAATGAGCTTACAGGGAGATACCAGTTTCTCAATGGTTCTCAATTTTCCCCTTTTTTTTTTGTCAGTTGATTCTATAGAAAGCTTCAAATTTCAGTTGTCTTTCAAGATTCAAATATCTATTGAGAAGAGACTTTAAAAATAATGAGAAACTTTTAATACACCTTGTGTCTTGCAAGGGGCAAAGGTGTAAATTCAGTTTCAGACCAAACTGCTTTTGGATAAATTGACAGGTAGCTGCTAAGGTGCCAAAAGTCTTTGATAATGTCTTTCCAGATGATCAACAAATATAAAATAGGATAAGCAAGAGAGAAATTAAGGAACTTAAAGTTTCT